TTCGTCAAATTGCGGAGCAGGCTCGCTCCCGCCACACTCTCGCCGAAAAGGTCCATCGGGTGATGCCCGCGCGAGCGCGAGCCACGACAGGCTGCAGGGGCTCCGACGCGGAGCCGAACAAGAGCGCACATCTTTAGATCACCATGCGGAGGCATTCCCTACAAGCACGCCGAAAAGAAAATAAAGATAGGTCATGACAGACTGGAGGCCTCACCCGTGCGCATCCACATCAGCCAGCAGTGGCAGCAAGAGGTTTCCGAGGGCCTTCATTCCGCAGCCCGCCTCCGCCGCCTCCATGACGAGCCTGCGCGAGGACAGGTCAGCGCTATCGCAGCCAGGCAGGGCCGAGACAGAATCCACGTCGACCTTCTCGCTGTGCGAGGCCACGACCTCAGGCGGCTTCACGAGCAGGCTCTTGAACAGCGCCATGGTGCCGCCCGCGTCCACGCCAAGGCTCTTGGGGTCCTTGGCCACGTCCGTGCCGTGAGCGTGCACGACCCTCGGCGGCGTCACGAGCTGCGTCTCGTCCTCCGCCTCGCCGTGCCCGTTATCCACGAACTCGTCCTGCGCCCCGTCGTCCACGAACGGCCCCTTCGTCCTTGCCGTGCGAGTGCACGACCCCCAGCGCCTCCACAAGCATGCTCCCGTGCCCCGCCTCGTTCACGAACTGCCTCTTGGCGCCGTCCACGTCCACGGCCAGGCCCGGTGCACGACGAGGCGACCGAAGCCCTCCGCCACCTTGCTGTGCGGGTCGTGCAGCGGGAACAACGGGACAGAGGGCAGCACCGCCTGCAACTCCTCGACGCCCGCTTTCTGCTGCAGCACGTCTGCCCGCAGCTGCATGGTGGGGTCCTTGAGGTCGATGAGCCGGTTCTCGACCTTGCGTGCGCCGCAGGGGGAGTACGCCTCCTCCGAGTCGACCCCCTCAAAGGGGGACGAGGCCACCGACAGCTGGTTGACGCGTGCCTCGGCCACGAACTGGTTGGCGCCGTCCACATCCGTGTCCAGGCTCGCGTCGTCCACGTCCTCTGGCGGGACCTCGACTACCTCGCCGAAGTCCGCCCTCAGGTTCACCACGATGGCCGTGCCCTCGGCCTCGATCTTGGCCGCGTGCGGCCCTAGCCAGCGCACTGTCTGGGCGACGGTCGCCTCGCCGAGGCCCGGGTGGCGCAACAAGCTGGCCGCAGTGCCCAACCCGCGCCGCGCGCGCACCGGGTGCGGGGGCGGCCGCATGCCACGCGCCCGCAGGCCCTGCACTTGCCATCGCTCGGACGTCCGTTCCCCGTGCATGTTTTGGTTTCGTGCGTGTTTTTGTCCGGCTCGATGATCAAGGATGCTCCTCGATAGTCCTCGCCGAGAGAAACACGCACACGTCCGAGCGATACCAAGTGCAGCCCTTTGGCGAGGGTGTTCTCGCCCAGGGTCGCGACAAGCTCGAACGCGGCGCCGAGCAGCTGCTGCGCCACGGCCGCCAGGGCGGGCCGCGCCTCGCCCGCCACGCATGGGCCCTTGGCGGCCTGCGCCTGCAGAAGGGCCATCCGCTCCGCAGCATCCGCGGGCGAGCCGACGCTGGCGCACGAGACGCCGTGCCTGACCACGATGAGGCCGCCGCCGCCGCCTCTGCCGCCGCGCCCGATGCACCGCGGAGGGAGCGCGCGCCCAAGTGGCGCGCGGCCGTCTAGAGCCCAAGTGGCTACGGAGAGGAGGAGGAAGGAGGAGAAGGAGGAGGAGGAGGAGGGAGGAGGAGGAGGAGGAGGAGGAGGAGGAGGAGGAGGAGGAGGAGGAGGAGGAGGGTGGAGGAGGAGGAGGAGGAGGAGGAGGAGGAGGAGGGAGGAGGAGGAGGAGGAGGAGGAGGAGGAGGAGGAGGAGGAGGGGAGGAGGAGAGGAGGAGGAGGAGGAGGAGGAGGAGGAGGAGGAGGAGGAGGAGGAGGAGGAGGAGGAGGAGGAGGAGGAGGGAGGAGGAGGAGGAGGAGGAGGAGGAGGAGGGGGGGCACGAGGAGGAGGATGAGGAGCAGGAGGAGAGAGGGGTGGAGGAGGAGGAGGAGGGAAAGGACGGGGGGGAGGATGAGAACGAGGAGGAAAAGGACCAGTGAAAACCCAAGAGCCTTCAACGATATTGGAATTCACCCTCCCTCCAAGCTCCCTCTTCATAGGCCCCTGCAGCAACTCATTTCCATTGACGGAACTGCCTCGTTGGAAGACAAACGATTGAAGATCGTGGAGCATGCCAAGACATTGTTCTCGGGATTCCAACGCCACGTATCAACCTGACTGCTGCGTGTTGGCGATCCGGAATTCGACCACAACGCCATTGATTGGATAGCATGACCGCGATTCAACAAAACTGTTCACCCACATAATCCTGAATCCCTCCAAAACACCATTTTGGTACGATGGTCATGGGACTCCGTGTAACCCTTGCAAATATCTTGAGACGGCTGTGCGCGGCGCTAAGGCGAGAGCCACAACTTGCAAAATCACCCGCCTTCAATCCGTGAAACTCTTGCAAATGTTTGAAACGAATGTGCGCGGCGCCAAAGCGAGAACCACCTGTTGAAAGCGACCCGCCCTCAATCCGTGAAGTTCTTGCATGTTTTACAAAGAATGCGCGGGGCGCTATGGCGAAATCAACGATTTGAAAACGGCCCGCCCTCAATCCGTGAAACTCTTGCAAGCTTATCACACGAACGTGCGCGGCGAAAAGGCGAGAGCCACCTCCTTGAAAACAACCCGCCCTCCATCTGAGAAGCTGTTGCCATGTTGAGAGTTTCGGAATCATACACGGCGAAGAAATCTCAAGCGAAACGCCCGGCCCACCCTAAAAACTTGCCTCGGGGTGCGACAGGGATAAGTTATCGATAAGAACCAATGGAAACCCAAGGGCCACCAACGATGTTGGAACTAACCCTCCCTCCAAACTTCCTCTGCATAGGCCCCATACGACTGTTCATTTCCAGAGAGGGAACTGCCTCGCTGGAAGACAACAGTTTGAACATCCTGGAGCGTGCCAAAACATTGTTCTGGGGATTTCAACGCCACGTATCAACATGACTGCTGCGTCTTGACGGTTCAGAATCTTGCCAGAACGTCATTTGGGGGATTTCAACACACCGAATCAACATAACTGTGGCGCCCGCGTAACCCAGAAACTCTTCCAAACAACCATGTCTGGTGCGCTGATCATGGGAATATGTGAAACTCTTGCACATATTGTTAAACGAATGCGCGCGTCGCTAAGGCGAGAGCCACATGTTGAAAACGGCCCGCCTTCAATCTGAAACTCTTGCAAAGGTTTAAGACGAGTGCTTGCGGCGCTAAGGCGACAACCACATTTTGAAAACGACCCGCCCTAAATCCGTGAAACCCTTGCAAGCTTATAAAACGAATATGCGCGGCGCTAAAGCGAGAGCCACAATGTGCAAAACCACACGCCTTCAATCCGTGAAATTCTTGCAAATGTTTGAAACGAATGTGCGCGGCGCCAAAGCGAGAACCACCTTTTGAAAACGATCGCCCTCAAAGTGTAAGGCTCTTGCGATCGTTGGCATGGAATGTGCGCGGCGCCAAAGCGAGAACCACATCTTGAAAACGACCCGCCCTCAATCCGTGAAGCCCTTGCACATGTTTAAACATAATGTGCGCGACGCTAAGGCGAGAGCCACAGTTTGAAAGCGACCCGCCCTCCATCGGTGAACCTGTTGCCACTTGTAAAACCTCAGAGTCATAATGGTGGGGAAGTCTCAGGCGAAACGACCCACCAGCCCTAAAAACCGGCCTCGGGGTGCGACAGGGAAGAATTATCTATAAGGCGAAGGAATGGAGGAATGAGGGGGAAGAAAATGACGAGGACGAGGACGAAGGATACTGACGAGAACGAGAGGACGAGGAGGAGGAGCAGGAGAACCAGCAGGAAGAGGAAGAGGAGGATAAGGACGAGGAGGTCAACGAGGATGAGACGAGGAAGGGGACGAGGACGAGGACGAGGAGGACAAGGAGGAGGACGAGGACGAGACTGTGTCTTGCGTGCCTCGGGTAAGCTTCTTGGGCCTCTTGGGGTGCCGCTCAGGGTGCCTCTCGGGTGCCTCTCGGGTGCCTCTTGGAGGCCTCTTGGGGCCTCTTGGGACGCTCTTCGGGCTCTCTTGGGGGCCTCTTAGGAGCCCTGGAGGGCCTCTTGGGGCCATCTTCGAGGCGGTCGGTCAAAAGAGAGGGGATCCTCGATGTCCCCCCCCCCCCCTTCGGGGACCACGATCCTCGTGAGGGGTGTCAAGAATTTGCCCTCCCACTGGCCGAGAAAGGACCCTCTGACACATCGGTCCCCCTCCCCAGGAATCCCAGGGAGGGTAGGGGGAGGGTCCCCATCCCCGAAGGGAAGAGGGGTTGTGGAAGAAAACAGAGATCACCCTTAGACCACCTGTCGCCCAAATGGCTGGTGGGATTGCGTGATTTTCCGATGGCTGTTCGTATGAGATTATGGCGTTCTCGCCTTTTCGGCTTTCCGACACCGCAGGACGGCCAAAGATGTCACCAAGAGCGGCACGTGAGGGATCCAAGAGAGTGCCCACACGGGAGCCCGAACGAACATTTCGAGCCCTCGGCCCCGAGAAGCTCCCAGGAGGCCCCAAGAGGCCCCCAAGAGGCCCCCACAGGGCCCCGAGGGGCCCCCAAGAGGCCCCCAGGAAGCCCGAGGGGACCCCCAAGAGGGCCCCAAGAGGACCCCAAGATGCTCTCAAGAGGCTCCAAAACTGCCTCCCAGAGGCTTACGAGCGTGCTCCGAAGAAGCCCCACAGACGCCCCACGAAGCATCACTGAGGACTCTGCCCCTCGTCATTGTCGTCGTCGCCGCCGACGCTACCGTCGTGGTCGTCGTCCCCCTTCAGAGTGGGCGGCACCGGCCGCAAGGCCTTCCCAATATGGTTCTCATGAGCCAGATGCTCCTACAGTGCGACACACTGAACTGGATCAGAAGCTTCAAGATTGGTAGACGATTCAAGCACACGCTGCTACTGACGATGATGAGTCCGCTTTGCCTTCTCCAGTGGGTTACGTGTGCGCAGCGCCATCGTTTCTAGTAGCGTTGGCGAGCGCGGAGACAGGTTGGTCACTGTGGACAGGCCGCACTCCAGCGCTTCCAGTGGATTGTGAACCAAACTAGTTGACATGGCACCCACGTCAGGCATGTCGTCCGGGCACAAGCGGATGTCCACATGATTTTGACGATGGCCCTCCTCGAACTGAAGCGTCTCCACCACAGGCCGGAGATGCCGTAATACGTCAGCGTTGTAGTCGTCGATAAGGCGGACATCATGGGGCTGATCGGGGACCACGTTCCGAACGATCGTGCGCACCAGCAGGCTGACGCCACCAAAGACCAAGAACACCAACCATCGCTGAACGCCCGTGAACCACGCTGGCCGTATCACGAATGCCGCGATGTACCCGTTAAAGAAAGCTGCGACGGTCCCGACCATCACAATCACCAACCTCCACTTACCGATGTCTGCGGCCGCTTCTGGGTACGGCCGACCCGTTACAAGTCGCATCCGCAGGACGAGCAGGCCGTACTCCACTAGCTGCGCGACAGTTGCGATCAAGATCATAGCAGGCTTGACCATGGCGAAAATAGTAATGTACGCGAACCCAAGCATTAGCTCCAGGAAGTCCTCGACAAAGGACCCCCCCCACTGTGCATACTCGTATTTTGCATTTATTTGGCACTTCGCTTGCACTTCCAAATCTGAGTACTCGGCGGCCCGAGATTGCGCGTGGTCCCTCGGGGCATTCTGTCGCTGTGCCGCCGAAAAATCCTGCCTGATAGCACGCTTAGTGAAGACGAGAGGGACTACTGTAAGCAACAATGACGAAGCGACGTGCAGGACAAACTGAGTATGGATTTGGTACTCAAAGTCCACATGGCAATTTGTCTTACAATCCACACGGTCATGAACTCGAACGCAATCCTCTTTCGGAAGGCAGGACGATAGGCAAACCATGTGGCCCTCCCCAGGAAGGTGCCAAAGCGTGTTCGATGCCCCCGGCCTCGAATCCAAGTAGTACCCAGCGAGAAGCTCCTCTCGGCTGCACGCAAAGAGCGACCTTAGGCAGGCGTGACCTTTGTTGCGCGGCTTCGGGGGGGCCTGCGGGGGCAAGATCCAAGCGCGCAGGCTAGTGCTCTGGGATCCCCTGTGAGCCCACACCACAGGCCACCCTGGCGAACGGTCACTCTTACGCGTAGCCGATCCTCGTACGTATTCACGTTCAACTCGCCAGCGAACTCCCCTCGAGGCCACTTTGGGGCCGAACCGTTCAATGGCAACGCCCCGTAAACCATCTCGGCTGCCTCCCTCCTGGTGCCTGCACAGTGCGAGTGCCCTTCGAAGACGAAGACATCCAAAGCTGGCCAGAGCAGGAAGAATATCTTCAAGGCTGAAAGCCTCAGCGTCAGCTCGTCGTCGAAGCGCTTCTGCGTCCTGTGGTTCTCCAGCCTGGTGAGCCGCGGCGCGATCATGCCCCACACCTTCTTCGCGACGACAATTAACGCCGCGATGAGCCACGCCTTTTTACGGGCGAAGAACGGTATAACATAAACGTTTTCGCCGTCGGGGACACCTGCCCCAGGGCGGCTGGAAAGTTTATACCCTTACGGTGGCACCGTAGGGGTATAAACTTTCCAGCCGCCCAGGGGCAGGCGCCCCCGACGGCGAAAAAGTTTATTTCATACCGTTCTTCGCCCTTAAGCCTTGGTCTTCTGGCACGACTCGTTCAGCCGCTGCGAGTTGATGACCATGACGCCCAGCACGAACAGCATGCAGTACGAGGCCGAGCACAGCGCCGCGAAGACGTGCAGTTGGCGCTCCCTCCGGGTGCCCGCCAGGCTGGGGTCGAAGCCCACCCCCGGGACCTCCTGCCCGGGCGCCAGCCTGGCCTCATTGGTTCCCCACCTCGACTACACGCAAGAGCGACCCTGGGTAAGAGTGACCTTTGGTGCGCGGCTTTTGTGGGGGCGCGAGGAGGCCAAACACAAGCGCGCAAGACGCTTATATCGCAACGAGCGCGGCGATCGGGGGACCCCAGTGAGCGCGCACCAAAGGTCACTCCGGCGAAGGGTCACTCTAACGTCTAGTTGACCACCCCTGGGCGGTGCGGGCGATGCTCCGGACCAGGATGACCTCGAAGAACACCGCCCACAGCACTACCGCGGCCCCGAACCCGATGTTGACCAGTGCTGCCATGTGCACGTCGGCGGGGAAGACACACCTTTTAACCAAGGTGAAGGGCAATGCGATCAGGCTCAACACGCACAGAGCACGGATGTAGAAAATAAAAAAGTGAACGTAGAAACCAATCTTCTCACCGAAATAATCCTTGACCTGCTTGGGCACAAGCTGTGCGCGGCAGTGCAATGGCAGAGTCCAGTGCATCTCGAGGGCCCTCAACTCCTCAAAACCCGCCGCGGGGAAGTGGGTAACGATGAATTCCTGGAGCAGCAGCTGCTCCAAATTCACCAAGCTGGACAGATGCTGATAGGCGATGCGTATCAGGTCCACTTGCCGGAATGGCTGTAGTTTCCCCTCCTGGTGCAGCTTCCTGGTGAAGGCGGTATGGGCGAAGCATGTCCAACCTGCTTGATTGGTGATCTGCTTCGTAGATTTGTAGCACTTCCTGCTGAGGGGCACCCTGTACTCGAAGTGCTCGGCCAGCGCGTAGACCGTCTCTCCCTCGGGGTCCAAATGGATCTTCAGGAAGGTTTCGTCTCCATCTACGCTAGGGAAAGAAGAACACATGAAACCACTTCTCAGAAGAAGCGCCTGGATCCTCTGCCGCACAAGCTCATGGTATACGGCGGCGCGGACAGGTTCGGAGCCGAGACCCTCGATCTCCTGGTCCTCGGGCCGCACGAAGATCTGCCTCGCCCGCTCCTGCGGGTCCAAGATCAGCCTGTCGGGATCCACACTGCCAGGCTCGCGCGCCCGTGTAAACACGATGACGTACGTGGCGTCCTCGCTGTCGATGACCGCGTGCGTCCTTGGGTGGGCGATTGGGGTCCCGATACCGCGGCCCCCCGGACCTCTCAAGGGGTGCCTTCGGACATGATTTTGTGTTCCCTTTTTTGTTTTTGATTCTTCTTTAAACTCCAGGTTTCTACTTTCCAAATCCACGTCAGTGCTGCCATGTGATGCTTTGTGTATATACTTTGTCAAGGAAACGTGGCAATAATCTCGAGGCGCACTCCGCCGTGCCGACGAGGGGCTCCCCCGGCACGAGCCGCGCGCTATCGGTGCCACTTGTCCTCCCCGGGCGTCCTCAGGAGCGAAGGATTGCAAAAAAAAAACCAGGATTGCAAAGGATTGCAAACAAAAACACTGTTTTTTCTTCTATCCTTCACCCAGGTTTTTTTGCAATCCTTCGTTCAGGTTTTTTGCAATCCTTTGTCCTCCCCGGACGTCCTCAGGAGCGAGCTCCACCCCATCTTCCGGTCCACCCGGGTGGCGCTGCGGGGCAGCTCGCGGAGCGAGCCGCAGGAGAGGGTGCTCTCCGTGGCGTTCTCCGCGTCGGAGCCCGAGTCCTCCGGGCCGTCGGCGCCGCAGCCGTCCAGGAGCAGGGGCCGCATGCTCCGATCCGAGGGCGCCCTCTGCCGCGACGATCTCCCCCCAAGTGTGGCCCTCCAGGCAAGGCGGATCGGGCCTGGAGCCGAGATGCAGGAGGCAAAGGCGTGCTTTGAACTCTTGCCATGAGAGATCTGCTGGTACATCCTTCGCCGATCTTGGAGGGTCCTCAAGGTGGCCCAGAGCTTCTGTGAGTCCCTGGGGCCATTGGGGGATGATGAATTTGAGTGGGGCAACCGCTGGCAGCGTAATCGGTTTCTCGTTCGATGCGCCTACTGAAGGGGCCCTGAGACGCACAAATAAATAGACACACATAACAGGATTCCCCATATTTCCCCATCTGTTCTTGGTTTGTCTTCCCCCCCACTTCCCCTATATTCCCATATTATCCTGGGAGTCGACGATTCATTGTGTCTGTGTGTTTCTTTCTCTCCTGAATACTGTGCTGCCAACTGGATGCTGGCCTCAACCTCTTGCGCAGCTTGGGGAAAACCTGGCCCTCCCAACACGTCGCCCCACGGACTCCTTCTTGGCCTGTCCAAGGGCCTGTCCCGGAGCCTCTCTCCCAGCGCGCATTTCTTGCCAGGGCTTCGAGGGGAAAATCCTGCCCTTCAGTCGGACTCGATTGGACAGGACACGCGAGAGGACACAAGACCCTTCCGAGGGCCACACTGCCGCAGGAGTGCGTCTTCTTCCTCCACTCTCCCCCTCCTCCTCCCCCGCCCGACTCCTCCTGGGTGGCCCACGGATCACAGAGCGGCCCACAGGAGGCCGGTCGGGGACCGCTTTGACGCTCTCATCGCGCTGAGGCCTCCACAGCTACACCATGCAAACACACAGCCGCATCGGATCGCCAGAGCATCAAAACCGGATCGGATCGAGCCGGCCAGAACCGAGATCTCTTCGGAGCACCATCGGGGATGGACAGAGCTCCCTTTCGCAAAAACGTGGTTTAGTGAAAACGACCTCGGGCCCAAACCTGGCGGGCGCAAGCCTGGACAATGACGGCCGCGGCGCCCTCTCGAGGACAGAAAACGGCCAATTCACGAATCGACGTGTCAGGGTAGGAGGCCTGTCCACCCCCGACAAGACCATCGAGATAGGCCCTACAAATTGAAGGGGCCCTGGGACACATAAATAAATACACGCAAGTAAAAAAGATTCCCCTATAATTCCCCATAGTTTCTCGGCTTTTGCCTTCCCCCTCACTTCCCATATGTTCCTATATTTTCTTGGGAATCTACGATTCATTGTGTCTGTGTGTTTCTTTCCCTCCTGACAAAAATGAGGAGCAGGACGTTCTGACAACGGTCCGTTCGGAACTTCCCAGGACTCCCGCACGGGCTCCCGGCACGAGAGCCGCCAGACGCTCCGGAGCTCCCGGAGCGCACCCGCATCCCATCGCACCATGACATCCAGTGTACCTTTTTATTGTGCTCCCATCGTACTTGAAGACCACATCCCAGAAATAATTTCGAACACCCAGAAAAGTGTCGAAAGAGTGTCGAAACAGTGTCGGACGAGTGTCTCTCCCAGGGCCCAACACGTGTCAACCTTCGAGTTTCGGAACTTTTCTTCTGGTGCTCGAGATTTCTTCAGGTGATCAAGGCTAAAGTAAGTTGGAACATCATAACTCTACCCTCGGAACGAGTCGCGACGACCATGCCAATACGGCCGGACACCGGATCGAACACATGAAACTGAAACAATTAGAGGCCTCCTAGATGGGGTCCGAGTAGATGGTGTCGGAAGATCGCGCCGCATCGCCGCCGACGTCGGCGATGTATCCGCGACGTCGATGTGAAGACAATATGGCACCGCGCATCGAGCCGCATCAGCTTTCCGAAGTGTCTGGAAGCCCATATGGGCCACATCTCGGCCTTGACGCTGGAGGGGCGGGTGTGCTCGAACTCAAGGAGCTCGGCCAGCTTTCGGGAGCGCTGGTCAAGAAACGCGAGCCGAGCTTTTCGGAACCTGGTTCCTTAATCAGATGCTCGACCGTCGGGGTCTGCGCGTCCCATGCCTCGTCGGATAGGCCACGCGCGGGCGCGAGAAGATGCGGCCGCTTCGGCCTGCCTCTGAAAGCTCTCTAAAAGCAACTGGCAGAGATTCGGAGACCCCCTGTGTGCCCGCGACGGGCTTCTCATCAAGGGCATAGTGATTGTTGTTGTTTTGACTGTTGTTGTTGAACTCTCCTTCTCAAGGAATCAGTTTTGCTGATCTTCTCTCACCAGTGCTCATTGCGTTTTACAATTCGAGTGGCCCACTCGGGGCTCGTACCCAGTTTTCCAAAAAAGGAAGATATTCCTGATCAAACTGCGCCCCTGGCCCCCAGGCCACTAGAACAACGGCTCCCGCCTGATACTTCCTCACACTCTACTTCAAAAATGCGCTCTCGCGCGGGGCGCCCTCACAGTGCATGCGCGAATCGCGCTCTCGCGTGGGATCACCATAAAATTTATTCAGACGCCGCGCCTTCGACTCAGGAATCACGCTCTCGCTGTGGTTTTCCTTACGGTATATTCGGGGATCGCGCTATCACTCGAGACTTGCTCGCAATTCATGCAAGACGCGCGCTTCAGTAACCCGCCTGCCCCCTGTCCCTGCTCACGTTGCAGGTGGGGAAGATGTGCCCCTAAAGAGGCGCAGCCGAAGACGAAAAGGGCGGGCGCCCAGGGTTCGAGATAAACGTTTTGACTGGCACGCAAGCACATAGGAACGACCAACATCAAACGACTGTGGTTGCTGTTGTTGCTGCTTTTGTTGATGTTAATAATGTAAGCGTTGTTGCTGCTGTTGAGATGGGATGAGACAACGCCTCGGAGAGGGATGGTGCGACGAGCAAAACACAACAGAGCCTCAGGGGCCCTGATGCCCGCGCAGCGCTGCGGAGCATTCGGCGAAATTGCCAGGGGGGGCGACCGACGCGTCGAGACAGACGGCGAGGTCGCACCACCCACAAAAGACATAAAATTACACTGACTGCTCTTTCAGTGAAATTCTGTCGGCGAGGGCAGCCATCCTAGTGACGTAGGGCGGGGGGCCCTCGGAGGAAGGAGCTCTGGAAACGCGCGCGGTCTCAAGCTCAGGCCGCTTCGCAGCGCAGTGCACGAAACCGCGGGCTGGGAGGGCGGCGTCAACCTTGCGCGCGAGCCTCTTGTGCGGGCCCACGCCTTTGCGCAGATTCGCAAGCACTTCGAGCCCCTTCCTGGTGAGGGGGCTTGCACAAACGTCTCAACTTTGAACGCGTGGACTGCTGGGCCCAGGCGCCACAATTCGCACGCGCATGCACTGGGTTGAAGCAGCCAGGATTCGCAGGAGCCTGTCCTCCCTGATTGACTGCAATCAACGCGTGCCCGAGAGGCTCACGCGCGAAAGCCTTGCGGTGCGCAGGCGTGCCTCTACAACCTGACGCCGGCCTGTCGCGCGCATCACAAGCTATGCGTAAACCATAGCGCGCACTGAACACCGAGCACGGTGCGACGCCACTCGCGCCAACACATTCGCTGCGCACGCACGCTGCAAGAGGGCGCGCTCACTCGTGTCCAGCGACGCCCACTGTCGAAGAGGGGGGGGGGGGGCCGCGGCGGCAAGACGGACGAAGCTTGCCGAAATCCACGCCCCGTCCTCCAGCTGCGCCTCGAGCTCGAAAGGCAGGGGGGCGTGCAGGGGGGCCGCCTTCTTGGCGTGCACATCTGCTACAACTTTGGCGTCGGTCAATCTCTTGGCAGCCTGAGTGCGCGTGGAATACTGCTCAGACGACCGATGGGCTTTCACGTGCTGCACAGACCGAATGCGGTGAACTCCAGGCACCTGCTGACAAAACAACTTGACACAGCCGCAATGAGCGCCTGCCCGCCACTGATCTTCAGGACTTCTGGATGCTTCGAGCGCGGCTGCCATGTAACCTGCGTGGTCATCAACGGGCCGATCGGCCACTTGTCCAACATATCCAAGCGACAGATGGTTCAGCCAGAGCCGACCGCTGCGGTAGGGACCCAGGGACTGCTCCAAACATCACTCGGAGTGGTCTGTCGCCCTGTGGGTCCAGCAGCGCAATGGCCCAGCCTGCTCGACGAGCTGCGTCAAGCAGGGGCACGCTGCACGAAGCGTCAACTGCGAACTCTGCGGCCAGAACATCAGGGCCGAGGACGTTGCATACCTCCTCGGGTTCACTGTCTACCTCGTTGCCGACGTCGTCGAGGATGCGCACCTTCGCGCCGTCGTCGAGCGGCGGAACGAGGCTCTCATCGCAGGCAAAAGCTCCCGTGACGTAGCGCAGGTCGTTCTCGTTGTCGCAGCCCTCCTGCGCGAAGTGCTCGCTGACCTGGCTCTCGAGATGCGCGGCCTGCACGTCGGCCCTGGTGCAAGTGTAGAGCCTGTGATGCACCGTGTCTGCTCGGCCACGCGAGCAGCAATCATCCGTGTCATAGCCCGTCCATGGCACAACTCTTGGTCCAGACCCAAGCATACGCACGGATGAGGAACTTCTGGCACTTGCTGCACTTCCTGGAGCGCTCACGCACAGCGCCCTGGACGCGATCAAACGTCACTTGAACTCCAGCTGGGAGGTTCCGCTTCTCTGCAAGCTGGCATCACGCAGCCGCTTCATGGGCCTGAGTCAGTAGGTCCTCGAGTACCGCGGGAGTGAGCTGATCAACTCGGACTACTTGATCGAGGTGATCGCGCCAGAGAGCCCCGCCGTGGGCGACCCAGCCAACGCTCTCCAAGCACAGGGCGGCGCGCCCCAGGGGCCCTCGAGACTTGGCCCAGTCGAAAGGCCTGCCAAGGTAGGTAACAGCAGAACCTCGCCAGATGAGCATATCATGCTTGGGCACGAGCGCCCTGTCGGGTCGAGAGACGGCCTCCCGCGGCATGCGAGTCCACTGCAATACAGGAGCAACGGCTTGGCGAATCGCTGGGCCGCCATCGAGAGCCAACTCGGCGATTGCAGAGGCGCCTCCATGCTATGATTTGACTTGGCGTCCGTGCGCTCGGCGGAGTACTGCAAGCTCCGAGTTGGTGGCTCCATTGACCTCGTCTCAGAAGGTGCACGCAGGTCTCGCCCCAGTGCGGTAAATACGACCAAGTCGGAGGACCGTCTTGACTGGCATAGCCCGCCTGCACTTGGCAAGCTTCCTCATGCGCTTCTTGTGCCGATCAAGGCGACTCCGCTGCTTGATTCGAGCTCTCGTTACTAAAGGATAAATATTGTTGGCGCCCCCTTCGGAGGCACATTGGTGTTTCCATTGGCGTGCCCATCCTGGGGCCCGCATCTTGTTTTCTATTAAAGCAAATGGTGAGCATCAGGCTTGCATTGTTGCCCCCAGATTACAACAACAACAACAACGGCTCCCTCCTGATACTTCCCCACCATGGGTTCCCAAGTCGCGCTCTCGCGGATTTCTACACAAGTCATGCAGGAGCCGCGCTTTCGCGTGGACTTTTCCTCGCAGTGTATTCAAACGCCGCGCCCTCGACACTCAGGAATCACGCTCTCGCCTTGGCCTCTCTCAAGATTTATTTTGGGATCGCGCAATCGCTCGGGACTTCCTTGCGACGCATGCAGGATGCACGGTTCAGCAACCCGCCTGCTCAACGTGGCCGCCTGGGCCCGCCTTCCCGCCACTTCCGTCAAGGTCTATCCGCCCGAGCTGCCCGTCTGGTTCTGCCACGTGGTTTCTGCTCCTGGCCCCCCAACTGCTACTCTCTCTCTCTCTCTCTTTCTCTTTCTCTCTCGTGCTTCATCCTCCTTTTTCTCCCTTGTCCATTCCTTCCAGCCGACCCCCCCTTCCCCTGCCTCAGGGGCTGCACGGAATGCACGTTGCAGGTAAGAAAGATATATACCCCAATGGGGTACGTTTGGAAACAAAGAGGGGGTGGTTTCGAGGGCTGGGGATATGCATGTTGATTGGCACGCGAGCAGATAACAGCGAACACTATTAAACTGTTTGTTGCGGTTGGTGTTGCTGTTGTTCTTGTGGTTGTAAATGAGTACGGCTGATCTCTTCTGACCAAGGTTCGTTTTGTTTTACCATCAAAACGGCCCACTCGGGGCTCGCACCTTGTTAGCCATAACATACACTGTTCCTGCTCAATTCTGCCCCCTGCAACCCCGGATCGCGTGGGATTTCCTCGACATAGATTCAGACGTCGCGCTCTTTATACATCACGCTCACGATGTCGCTGTTCCAATGGTTTGCTTGGGAATCGCGCTCTCGCGTGGGATTTCCTTCGAATGTATTCAGACGCCGCGCCCTCGATACTCAGGAATCACGCTCTCGCTGTGATTTCCTTACGATATGGTTGGGGATCGCGCTATCACTCGGGAGCCCCTCGCGAATCATGCAGGACGCACGCTTCAGCAGCCCGCCTGCTCGATCTGGCCGCCTGGGCCCGCCTTCCCGACCCGCCCGCTAGGGTCTGCCCCCCCCAATCTGGCCGCCTGGCTCTGCCACGGGAATTCTGCCCCCAGCCCCCCCTTTATTTTTTCTCGTGCTCCAAATTCCTCCCTCCCTCCATCCGTCCATGCTTTCCCTGCTTTACGGGCTGCGCCAAGTGCGCGTGGCAGGTAAGGAAGACCTGCCCCCAAAAAGGTACGACCGAAAACAAAGAAGGCGGGTAACGAGGATTTGGGATATAGCGGGAAACAAAGAGGGCGGGTTGATTGGCATGCGAGCGGATAGGAACGATCAGTCTTACACTGATAGTCGGTGTTGGTGGTGGTGCTGCTTATGTTGTTGCATGTGAACTCTCATTTCTAACAAGTAAGTGTTGCTGGTCCCCCCCGCCAGGTAACCGATGCATTTAAAACAATAGTATGTTTCTCCAGAGGCTCGCACACTGCTTTGCATTACTGGGTGAATTTGATCGAGGTGTTACCAAACTGTGACCCTGGACCCCGTAAACAAAAGCAGAAAAAGGATACCGCCAGATACTTCCTCACTTTGTATTCCTAAATCGCGCTCTCGCGCGGGACGCCCTCTCAATGTACGCAGGAATCGCGCTCTCGCGTGGGACTTCCTCACAACGTATTCAGACGCCGCGCCCCCGACACGAAGGAATCGCGCTCTCGCTGTGGTTTTCCTCACGATTCACGATCCATGTGGAAATCGCGCTATTGCTCGAGTCTTCCTTGCGATTCATGCAGGGCGCACGCTTCAGCAATCCGCCTGCCCCTTATCCCTTCCTTCCATCCGCCCGTTCTTCCCCCTCCTCAGGGGCTGCGCGAAACACACGTTGCAATTTTTCTTCTTCGGATGTACCGAATAAAGTGCGCGCTGGGGGGACCGCCATCCGTTCAGGAACCGAACCTAGCAACTCAAGGGGCCCTGGGACACACAAATAAATACCTCATATTTTCCCATCGTTTCTGGCTTTTGTTATCCCCCCCACTCTCCCATATTCTCCCACATGTTCCAGGGAGTCGACTAAGAATTGTGTCTGTGTGTTTTTCCCCTTCCTGAGCACCATGTACTGTGCCCAGGCCTCGTGCGCTAGCACGACAGTCGGGTCGGGCGAAAAGGGGGGATAGCAAAGGGGGGGTTTGAGAATCAGCTCGCGTAGCTGATTTTCCCGGCGCCTCCCGGCGCCGGAGACGCCCATGTATCGAGGAATGGCCCCCGGCGGCGGGGCCGAAACCAGCTGCATGCAGCAGATTTCGTAACCCCCCCTTTCCCAATCCCCCCCTTTCGCCCGGCCCGAGCTAGCACGACAGGGTCACACGACGGGGAGAAGCCTCCTCCCGCCTCCCTCCACTCTGCTGCGGCGGCGCGCACAGAGGTTCCCAGAAAGGAGGCGGCCTCTGGGAGGGCGCCGTTGAAGGGGCCCCAGGACACACAAATAAATACACACAAATAAAATGATTCCCCATATTTTCTAATATTTTCAGGGTTTTTGTCTTCCCCCCCACTTCCCATATTTTCCCATATTTTCCTGGGAATCGACGATTAATTGTGTCTGTGTGTTTCTTTCCCTCCTGAGCCGTCCCCACATCAGGCTCGCGCCTGCCAGGAAGCAGGGGTGCTTCTAGGAAGACCTCCCCCCTCCCCCTTACCCCTCTTCTGCGCATGGCCAACTCCTCCCGGAAGACGTACGACTCGGGTTCGGGGGACTCGGGTTGAGATGGCGAGGCCGTCAAGAAAACGATGAGAACCAATCTGAAATTTGACGCGAGCTCCCGCTGCAAACTTACCACGGTCAACCCGAAGCACGGCGAACTCGAATCTTACGTTTCCCCAATCCTCCGGTGGTGCCGTGCTTCCGTGGTGTCGATCCCGGCGGCCCGCGCGCGCGCGGGCGGAGCCGCGAGCACGCCCCAGAAGGTGAGGAACAGCAGCCCCAGGGGCACCTCGTGGGAGGAACGCCGAGGGGAGGGCGGACGAGGGGTGAGGGAATGAGGGAGGCAGGCGGTGCAGCCAGCCCGCAGAAGAAGGAGGCGCGGTAAGGATGCAAGGGTTCTTGGGAGGGCCATGCGGGCGTTTTGCAAGCGAGGTTGGCCAGCGAGAGTCGCGGAGGGCGGGCCGGATGGGCAAGGATGCAAAGGTAGCCATAGAGAGTTGCTCCTCCTGTCTGTGCGGGTTGACTGTACAGTTGGGCAGAAGGAGCGCTAAATAAGGAACGGAGCCCCTTCTTGGCCCTGTAGGCGCCTCCGTGCCCCCAGGAGGGCAAGAGGAACAGCACTGGAGGAACCTAAGGAACATCGAGCCCCTTCCGAACCCAAACTGTCCTTTATTTCAGCGCCTTGACTGTGTGGCAGGCAGGCGGGAGGGGGCAACGGCTTCGACGGCGAGGGGCGCAGGGAGGCAGGCGGCAGCAGGGAGGCCGCAGGGAGCGAGGCGCGCCGACCCCTGCGGCGCAACAGCCTCCAGCGGCCGGCGGGCAGGAGGAGGGGTGGAGCAGCGGCGGAGGAGCAGCGGGCGCGGCGAGGAGCAGCGAGGGACGAGAGGAGAGGCAGAAGCAACGGAAAGGGGGGACGGAAGAGAGGCACAGTCAACCCGTAGAAGAAGGACGCGCGAAAATCATGCAGGGGGCTTGTCCACGCTTTGCGAGCGGGGCGCGGACAGCGAAAGCGGCCAAGGATGGGCCGAGGAGGCAAGGATGCAAGGGTAATCCTGGAACGTCGCTCGTGCCTACTGTGTTGACTGCAGCGCAGCGCGCCGCGGCGAAATGCCCAGGAGCAATGGAAACTGCTCGGTGGCGATGCTGGCCGTCCAGGCGTACGATCAGGCATAGCTCATGCGGCTGGGCACGCCGGGTGCTGGTGACCCCAACGCGGGGGCCGCTATCCCCCGGCGTGCGGCGGGCGCCGTGGGGGCGCACGATTTGGCGGCACTGCCTGGCCCTGGCACTGGCGCGGGCGCCCGGCCGCGCTCCGCTGGAGATGCGTGGCTGAGAGAGGGGCGGCTGTCCCGCGTGCGTGCCCGCTTTGCGCTGTTCCGGCTCCAGAAAGGCGCGCGCTGGTGGAATGCTTCGGGCGCCGGATCACCGCATGCTGTGGCGCCCGTGTGCGAGGCGTGCCCGTGCAGCGACAGTGTGCGATGAGCAATGGGCGCCGCGGAGGATGTCGCCGCGCTCGCGCCACGGGTCCGCCTGGTGGGTCTCGCTTCGCGTGCGTGGGCGCTGGGCGCGAGGGCGGGCGGGGGCGAGGAGAGGACAGCGGATTGCCCCAATCCAAGCGCGCGGGCCGGTGCTGGAGCCACCCCTGTGAGCCCGCTCCAGAAGCCACTCCGCCGAGAGGTCGCCCATGGGCACAGCCGAAGGAGGAGGGCTGAAGCGTCCGCGCCTGCGTCCAGCGCAGCCCTGCCGCGTCGGCCCCGAGGCCCTGAAAAAGGCGGCGGCGCGCGCGGCTGGGCGCGGCGCGTCTTCGGGCGCGCGCTTGGACATCCCGGCAGCGCAGCAAGCCATTTGCAGGGCAACTCGGGCGACTGCCATAGCGGAGCGCTTCGCGCGAGCTAGCGTGGCCCACCCAGCGTCGCTAGACGATCTGAATCTCGATTTCCATGATAGCGCCCGACGGCAACTGCGCGTCTGCAGGGGGCGAACCCTACTAAGTTATTATCGAGTGGTGGCCAATGTCGGAAGTTGCGCGGTGGACCTCGCGCCATGGCGGGCGCCGTTCGGCCCGCCCGTGCGCGGCCGTTTCGAAACCCCTGGTTCCGAACGTCAGTTGCATGCTGAGTCGGCTGTATACTCGCATTCAAGGCACGGTGCGCCATGCGCACATATATATATATATATGGAGACGACGCGCAAATAGCTCTGCACCTGGAACGTCTTGAACGATCGCGGGGAGAGCGCCGCAGGCTGCAGCGCGCACTCGCGCCCCCGACTAAGAGCACGCGCCCTGGCCAATCCACGCCGACAGAGCGGAGAGGGGCTGGAAGTTCCCAGGCCGCCACCGAGCACAGGCGCCGAGCCCATGGCCCTTCAAGGGCGCGCAACCAGACCGGCTTGGGGGAGGGGGCACAAAAGCGGAACTCCTCGGATCAGGGGCCAGCGCAGACGCCCAGACTGGCTTTGCCCAAAAGAATCGCAACGCAGCGCCTCGATCCAAACCACCTTCGACATTCATGCTAGCGTTGACCCCCCCCACAGAGTGTGCAATACAAGGCTAACAGGGTTTAGGCGATGCAGAAGGAATTTGTAAATCATATATGAATTTATAAAATCGGTAAACGTTTTTTGAAAGGCTCTCAGACCACGGCTTTGCAATTCACTCCATCCTGGAGCGGTCTTGCTCTGGAAGGCCCGCGCGGGGCCCGTGAAAAGAGGGCTGGCGTGCGGTTGCGCAGCGGATGCCCTGCAGAGGCATGCGCGGCGCGCGCCACTAGGGCGACCATTTCACGTGGGGAAATAGCCGCAACATCCAGACATGATCCCAAGGAGGCACTGCAGTCAGTAGAAGAAGCCACGGCCCAACTCGTGCGGAGCAGCGTCGTCGCAAGTAGTTGGCCTGGGCCCTGCCGGGCCGCCCACTGGGCGCGCGGAGATACTGGTCGAGAAGTTTCCCGAATAACGCTTCTGTAGATGTCTAAGAACCGCCGAATGCGCGCCCAAGATGGGACCAGTCACTCCTGGCCACGCAATAGCCATACTTGTACGCCGACGAACTCCTTTGTCCAAGACCAACATGGTACATTTGTCGGATCTGCTGAGTCTGGTGATTACTGAATCCGACATCGTCAACGCCACAGGTGGCCGCAGGTCCCACGTCTGTATTCATATCCCCTTGTGCGCGAGCGCCTGCGCGCTTCAGCTTAAGCAAGCGTCTCGCTTTGCTCAGTGCCTTCTTGACGCGCCCGACCAGACTCGACGAAATCGCTTGCCCTGGCGCGAATGCAAATCAGTGCCCAGGCTCCTGCAGGAGTGAAGAATATGCGGCGCCAAGTCGCTGGGTTTCAGCTGCAATTCCCCTGGCCAGCGGTGCATCCGACGGCAGCAACACCAATTGCATATCGAAAGGAAGCGGAGAAAATTGTGCAAGCCTGCGCTGGCCATGCAAGACGCACCTGGACCAAATTTCACGACCTGGGCCTCCGCGCCAAAACCAACGCGTCATCTGCCACTAAGCCCAGATGCACAGACAGGCGCGCCCGCAAGGCAGCACCACACCCTGAGATCAACCTGATACGCATGAAGAGGGCCGCACACGAGCACCCAACAATACTGATGACAGCTGCAGACAGCCCCTGCCCACGCCACAGAAAGTTCTGATAACCTTGGGGAATCGATGCAGTCAAGGAAGCACTCTGAATACAATAAGTTTGAACGCAAACTAACTAAATCTTTTGGATCAGAAAACGGTGGCGAACCTGACCGACAGCTTTCTATATGCCCGAAAGAAGAACGTCAACGTATTGACCATGTGGAGCAGTCTACTCAGACAGAACACTCATGTGTTACACGCACAACTGACCATTGTGTGTGCGTGCCGCGTCTACGGAGGGGGATGCGGACGAGCCCGCGCTGCGTCAGACGTGCGTCTACAATGCAATGTGAAAGAGCGTGCACATGTGGCGAACATAACAACAGTGCGTTCACCACCGTCTGGTTTTGGCAGCAAGCGCAGTGCACAACAATCGAGCATCAAAGGGCGAAAGGAACTGACACCCACGAAACATTGCGGACCACATTTTGAACAGTCATTCCAAGTCTTCCGCAGATGCAGTGTGCCGTGGGGGGATCGGGCCAATCCCACCGACGTGCGTGCACGATGGTGATTGCACAGCTGACGGAATCTCACCATGGAAGGCAATGGCAAGTGTGCGAGGTGCTCAGCCAATAGGGGAGGTAATGACACGCCCTCCTATTGATCGTCATGTGGTTCCTGCGGCTTCTTTGGCTGCCACATGCCATGCCCAAGCGGTTCTCCGGCCTCAACATGGTGAGCTGGAGTGGCACGCGGCGCATCATGTGAACGCGGCTTCTGAAATGGCAAGCCAAACTTCCTTGAACAAGTCTGTGCGCTGCAGATCCTCCACATTCTTTGGCATAGTTCACTGCCCAAACACACCAACTCTGGTGGCTTTCGGCAGACGCAGCCTTCTCCAGTGACGCTGCCACGTTAGACACGTTCTCTTGCATGCAGTGGTGGTAAGATCGACGGCGGGGCGGTGACGCTGGGACCCCGGGCGCTGTGGATTCGAGCCCGGCTGCGAGGGCTGCTGGTGCCCGTGCGGTCTGGGCGGGAACCGCCGCGGGAAACCATGTTCCAGGGGGGGACGGGGCCCGCGGCATGGGCGTGCCAATGTTCGGGAGGCGACCAGCCCACTTGTCTTCGGGGGCATTCAGCCAGACAGCCCAAACTTGGCGGCTGCGAAGTCCATGAACAACTTCCCGAAAGTCGGGGATCTTCTGACCCGGGTCAATCCAGACCCGGGTCAACAGGAAACCAAAAAATGCAATGCAGGAAAAAAAACTGCAACGCAGATGCTCGCAAACCCGGGTCAGCCAATACGCGCGGCCGCCTCGCGGCCACGAGCGGCTCGCTAACCGGGGTCAGCCAGAGGGGGTCTTCGCAGGATCCTGCAGGATCTGGCGCCCTGGCTGACCCCCGTTTGCATTGACCCCCGTCTCAAGGTTCCCGAGAAAGCGAGGTTTCGGTCCTGCCGGGTACCCACGCGTCAACGGCAACGTAAGACGCCAGATGCGGATCTCCCGGCCGAGCTGGGCCTCCCCCCCCCCCAGCTACACGCGCTCCTCTGCCCAACGTGCTTGGAATTCCTACAAGGTTCGAAACTCCACCGTGTTGATGCTGACGATGTTGTAACCTGGGAGGATCTTAGGTGGCGTGCTGGGCGTGAGCTTGCAGAACGTGGGCTGCACTTTCCCCACGCGGGGGTTGATCCTGAGCAGCTGGACCATGTTCTGCACGGCCAAGAAAAAAGTTACCCGCGACGGGGCGAGCAGCTTCTTGCGCACGGGAGCCCCTCATCCTGCTCAACCGTCCTACGTCCTTCTTCTTCTGACTCTCCTTCTCTTTTTCCTTCCTCCTCCCTCCAGGAAGTCCTCTCCCCGAAGTCTCTGGACGCCTCTGGACGTGCCCGTAGAAGCCCAGATGCCGCTAGAGGCATCCAAAAGCCCCTGGCTGCCAAAACAAACAAAACACCAACAATCTTCAAACCCGAGCTCGATAACCGATCCCTGCTCCTGCTCCTTCTTCCCCCCCCCCGCCCCCCGCCGACGGCCTGCTGCCACTCTTGCGGGGAATCGAGCCCCCCGATGCCGATCATCTCGGCGACGCTCATGGCTCAGCGGGGAAGCGCACGCCTGTAGGATAATGGTGGCAATCATTTTAGATGTGTACATATTTACACCTATGTATATATGACTCCGTATGGACGGACAGGACAAAACTTGCCCACGCGATGTGTGGGCCGTGAACTCATACGGGACAGCGGGACCAGACCGATGGGGCGACGTCCCCGCGAGCGGCGAGTGATTCGGAAGAGGGCGAATGAGAAGATAATCCGCCCGCGAAGAAGAATGTGAAGGACAACTATCTTTTTGTGTGAGTCATGGTAATAGCAGTTGCCATCCTTGTATAAAAGGAAGTGAAGTACACAGGTCATGGCCAGCGTGGGCCCAAAACGACGTGTTCTAGCACATGACAGTGTGCAAGTCACGTGGTGCAGCTGCTGCTTGTTTGCTACGCGTTGTCAATTCCACTGCTTGCGCACTCATCCCACCCACCTGCCCACAACTTCGCTTGCAAAAAGCCCATGCGGAGGCGCTTACTATGGCTGCTTGGTGCTGACTGGTGCACTGCTGCGGCCGAGCTGACGCGCAGGCTCGCGCGCAGATCGCCCAGCTAGTGTGGCGCGACCGACGCGGCAGCGGTGGCGCGGACCGCTGGGCACTTCCCAATGCGTCTCGCAGGCCGCGCTAACGCGCGGGCACTTCAGTGCGACTCGGTGACCCACCGGGGCAGTCGCGGTATCATGGCGAAGTCGACAACGGCAGACACGCTGATGAGGGTGCCCCGTTCTGACAGCCACTTCAGGGATCGGCATGCTTTCGAAGTGGCTGTGCGGTGGGGCCGTTGAGTTGTGGAGTGGCGGTCAGATGCGTGAAATACAACGCGGCGCTGGCGCTGGTGCGGCTGCTCACGCGCCCGTCCCGCCCGTCCCCTCCCCCCTCCCCCCCTAATCCCTTTTGCTCCCGACCCCCCCCGACCACCGCTCAGAGAGAACTGCTGCCAGCGCTTAGGAGAATAGCGAAGCACGATGTCCACAAGCGCTTAGGAGAGTAGGAAAATAGCGAAACATGCTTTCCACCAGTGCTTAGGAACAAATTCGAGAGAAGCGCCGTAAAAGAAGCGTCTTGCAATAATGTCAATGCGATGTAGAGTCAGAGGGAACACTGAGCCCGTGACAGCAATTTCGCCCGGGTAGCCGCCGTGGCGGCTGGGGAGCGCGCGCAGAAAATGACGCTTACCTTCGAACCCCAATCACCACCCAGGCAAATACCGGCAGTGGCGGTGCCATCTCAAAGGTGCTAAAACACATAGTTGAACTGCTCGACGCTCTTCGTGCCTCTGTGTCTCATCGGAAGAAGAGGGGGAGGTAAGGAGGAGGGGAGGACCAGTGTAAGCCAAAGACCCCTCAACGAAATTGCAAATGACCCTGCCTCCAAGTTCCCTCTTGATAGGCATTGTCACTAGCTCCATGCTAAGATTCATTGCCATTGAGGGAAATGCCCCGTTGGAAAAAAAACGTTCGAGAATACTGAGCTGTGCCAGGACACCACCCCTGGGAATCCAACGCCGCGAATCACCGTATCTGTTGCGTCCTGGCGATCCCCTGAACCGTGCCAGAACACCATCCCCGGGACTTCACCAGTGCGAATGTATGTAACTGCGGCGCCTTGGCAACCCGACATCGTGCCAAAGCATGGCTTCATGCAGTTAGGTCGTTGCCCATGCGAGTCTTTGACACTGCTGTGAACTGGTAAAACACGTGCGCGCGGCGTTTTCACACGAGGATCGCATGCTGAAGCCACCCGCCCTCCGTCCGTGAGGCTCCTGCATGTTGCTTGCAGCGAGTGTGCGCAGCGCTGCGGCGAGAGCCACACTTTGAGAACCGCCCGCCCTCCATCCATGAAGCTCTTGCATTGCGGATGCCACGACAATGGACACCACCCTAACAGTCCTACCATTGAATATCAAATGTGCTTACGCTGTAGGAGAATTGTTTTAGACATGTGTTAAGCATGTTTTGTTTTCACTTGCTTAGAACATGTTTGACACATGTTCTAGACATCTGGGAGTTATTTGGCAACATGCTTCCTCTCCATTGATCGTCCTCCACAGCTCTCGCAGATCCTGGGAAACTTGTGCGTGGCGCCACGGCGAGGGCCACATCCTTGAGAACGGGCAGCCTTCCACCCGTGGAGCTCTTGCAGCTGTTTGGAAACATGGTGCGCGGCGCTGCGGACTCTGTTTGCAGCCGGGGCGGGCTCTCCGTCCTATAGGCCGCTCCTCCTCCTCGTCCTCCTCCTCCTCCTCCTCCTGCTGTCTTGGAAAAGAACCGCCCTGCGTCCGTGAAGCTGTGGCAAATCTACCGCCTCGAGATCACAACTGCTGCGACAGTCTGGCGAAACGCCTGGTCCGCCCTTTCGACCGGCCTCAGGGTGCGACAGGGACGAGCTGTTGAGAAGGAGACGGGATGGATGAGAAGGAAGAGGAGACGAGCACGGAGAATAGAGGAGGGAGAGGAGCAGCAGCAGCAGGATGGCCCACAGTAGCAGGAAGAAGAGAAAGAGAAATAACCCGCATAGGAGGATCCGAAAGAGAAGAATGCGTAACACGGGGGATACGAGGAGGAGATGAAGAACGGGACGACATAAGAGGAAGACGAGAGACTAACACCGTCAACAGAGAAGTAGACGATCAGTATGTGCTGGGGGGAAGGGGGCGTCGCGCTGTATGAATCGGTATGCAGACACATGCATACACAAATACATATGTACAATTATATACGTATGTCTGAATATACCTATAGATGTATATATGTATGTATGTATGTATGTATGTATGTATGTATGTATGTATGTATGTATGTATGTATGTATGCATAGATGCATGCATGCATGTACGTATGTATGTTTGCATGTGTGTATGCATATTCGTTTGCATATATGTATATATGTAGGCGTGTAAGTGTATATGTATGTATGCATGCATAACTCAAGAAACTATGTATTAGAATATATGTACATTGTATATATATGTATGTATTACACATCACTGCCCCAAACCCCAACATGCCTCGTTGGCGCGAGGAAGATGGAAAACCCCGGAAAGCAACCGCACTTTAACCTGTTTGAGCCGATCCAGACAAGAGAACGAGCGGCGGATGGCAGATGCGAGGATGTGGAAACACATGACCAAGCGCGCGATTGGAGTATTGCAACTGGCTGCAGGATTCAATTCACTTTGCATCACAGGCTTGTGCCGTTTGCGGGGGATGTCCGTTTCTGGTGGTAGCTGAACCCACAGACGAGATAACATGACCACATCTGCAATGATACAGACGCTGCTGAGAACTAAGAGGGTTTGAGATTAAGAAGCCGGAGCCGCAGGGTGACCGCGGAGATCGTTCCGGCGTCGGTCCAGGCTCCCCGGCGCGAGTTGCTTGAACTTGCAGCCTGTCCCGAGGGGCCTTTTCTAAGCGTTTCCCAATCGGCGTGCCCGGAAACTCTCCAGAAGGTCCTTCGGAAGCTCTATCCAGGTCCTTGCAGAGTTCTCGGCCCGGCCTTTGCACGCTCGTCAGGCGCCCTGCTATTCGAGCCTTGGAATCACAAGTGATACAGACGCTGCGCGAACGCATGTACAGTGCGGGCGCGGCCGCAAGAAACCCTCGCAAGAAACCCAACCCCGAGAGCCCGCGCGCGAGGTGCAACTGAGGGGAAACCCGGAGCACCCCGATCGCAGCAGCTCCCTCAACGGCCGCGGGAAGCCCCCGCGCATCGCGCGGAGCGGAGAGACCCAGGGCACCCTGACGAGAAGTAGATGGTTTCTTGACGCGCGCCCCCGCTGTGTCATGCGAACCCCCTCCGAGGCACCTGCACCTTTTCCCCGGCCCGAGCGACAAGGGCAGCCGGGACGAGCGGGCCCCTGGCCGGCAGTCCCCTCGCGGAACCAAGGCGCCTCCCGGCCGCCTCCCCGCACGGACGTGCGTGTCCTTGAGATCAGCACTCCGGCGGCGAGGGCCATGCTTTCGGCGTGGAGAGGCGCCCTGGCCCGCCCCCCCCTAGATGACCTTCTTATTGAGCCTCATCGCCAACGACATCCGCCTCTGGACCGACTGGAAGGTCTTGGCCGCCGTCGAGGGCGCGGCGGCTCCCGGCTGCGGAAGCCCAGAGAAGTCCATGCTGACGCTGCTGGCGGCGGACACGCGAGGCTGCCTTTGCGCGGCGGGGGCGGCGAGGGTGGCTGCCCGCTGCACCTGGGCACGCCGCAGATCTGCATGCACTTCCAAACTCTCAGAGGTCCACAAGGATTCCCTCGGTCGTCGCTGACCACCTCCCCGCACCTCCGTCGGTGCCTCCAGCGTTTTGCTGTCCCCATCCTGCTTAAGGACCACATCCCAAAAATAATTTGGAGCACCGAGAAAAGTGTCAGAAGAGTGTCGAAACAGTGTCGGGCGAGTGTCTCCCAGGGCCCGACACGTGACGATCCTTGAGTTTCGGTACTTTGCTTGGCCGCTCGAAATTCTTCCTGGTGATCAAGGCTAGAGCAGGTTGGAGCATCATAACTCCAGCAGGGAGCAGGGTCCAGCGCAGACGCGGAATTCGAGCGGACCTCCCTCGGTTGATGCCCATGCCGTGATCTGTGCTTCCAGACCTGGGGCTGGGGGGCATCCTCCACCCGCTTGGTCTTCCTCAGCTTGTGGTAGTTGTCGCGCAGCTCCATCAGATCACGTTGCAGGGCGGCGGCCTCCTTGAAGAGAGATTCGTTTGCCTCGTGCTTCGCGTTCACTCTGACCTTCGGGGGACCCTTGCCTGTCATCTGCAAGATGCTCTTCTGCAACTCCTCCGAGTACTCGTTCATTTTCTGAGTTTCCTCGCGGAGATCCTTGCATGACAAGGCCATCAGCTGCTGGCGGGACCTCTCCTTCACGATTTCCCTGAACACATCCAGAGTAAGCTGCCTCTTTTTGGCCTTCTCCTGCTGAACCATCCTGACGGCGTTCTGAAATTTCGACAGCATCGCCTTCGGGCTGGTGACGGGCTCTTTTGGAACTAGTTCCACCTTGGTCCCCTGAATCGTCGGAATGGCCTCCTCTTGGGGAGACCAAAAAATACCGATACCGCTACTCCTCGGACCTCTCCCGGGGTGCGTTCTGACCAGAACTCCGAGGCGAATCCAGCGGTGGCGACGAGGGCCTCGCAGGAGGCCCAAAGAGGGGAAAACGGCCGAGGGGGTAGAGGTATGGGTACCTTTTCCTCCTCTGACCTCTTCCTCGGCCGAAGCCTCGCTGGTGGACGCCGGCGAGTCGGCCCCGACGGCCGAGGGGACCCGCGGCACCGGAGGCGAGGCCGCCTCTGCGTCGGAGCCTCCCGCCGCCGGGGCGGCGAGGTCTGCGTCCTCCCCCGCGGTCGCCGGCGAACCCCGTGGCGCCCCGCACCGTCTGCCCCCCCCGCCTCGAGCGGTCGAGACCGCCCTGGATGATGATGCTCACCAGCCTGGAACTTGTCCCTATCCCTCAGATGGACGCGCTAAGAGGAGATGACAATCTCAGGGATACACTCTCAGAAACTGAGGATATCCCCGAGATCGCCATCGTGATGAGGCGATGCCCAACACGGGGATAGGGATATGTTCCAGGCTGGTAAGACACTCCCATCGTGCTCAAGGACCACATGCCAAAAAAGATGTCAGCACCCGGAAGGAGTGTCGGAAGGGCGTCGGAACAAGGTCGAAACAGTGTCGGAAGAGTGTCTCCCAAGGCCCGGCACGTGAAAACCATCGAGTTTCGGTACTTTCTTGGTGCTCAGAATTCTTTCTGGTGGTCAAAGCTAAAGTAGGTTGGAACATCATAAGCCTCGGAAATCACATGCCCCCTTCCGTGCAGGAGCAACCAGAAAAAAACTGCTTTTCGGAGCCGTCCGTCGGCGCGGCGCAAGAGAGAGGCTGGGACCCACGCGTAGGGTACGGGAGCCCAGTGAACAGACTTCCTCTCTGGGGCTCCGAGAAATCTGTTTGGCCAGTGGGACTTGTGCGCGCCACAGACAAGCACGACTTATCCTGGTGACGTGCTGAGGGGATCGGGTCCTGGATCCCAGAGTCCCAGAGTTTCCCGACGGATATCAGGTCTTCGAACTGAGCTTTTTGTTTGACCGCCCTTGGCCCAGGAGGAGGAGAAGGAGGAGGAGGAGGAGGAGGGGGAGGAGGGGAGGAGGAGGAGGAGGACGACGAGGAGGAGGAGGAGGAGGAGGAGGGGGAGGAGGGGGAGGAGGAGGAGGAGGACGAGGGCCTGATAGCCCACCCCGCCGAGGAACGTCTAGTGTCGCCATCGGGGGCCCCGTGCCGACCTCTCGGCGCTGCATCGCCGATGCAGGGCCGATGCTCCCGACGTGCAGGGCACGTGGAGGTGTTGCCTTTGTTTTCGGCCTCTGGGTAGGAAGGCACCAACTATACACCAACACCGATCCTGGCCATGATAACCCTGGGCCCAGGATCGGTGTATACGCCCTCCTGCCTTGCGCAAGAAGGCATATACACCGATCCTGGGCCCAGGGTGATCCTGAGCCAAGATCGGTGTTGGTGTATAGTTGGTGCCCTCCGATCTTGGGCCCCCATCGACGGTGAATGGGCGATCGGAGGTCGATGCGCCCTCCCCCACCCCCCTCTGGGCGGCACGCGCAAGGGGGCGGGTCGGAAGGCTTCTTGGAAGGAAGCTGCTTCTTCTCAGAGGGCGCGGGCCCCATACCTGTAGGTAAGGCCCGCGCCTTCTGAGAAGCAGGGGTGCTTGTAAGAGGCCTCCCCCTTCGTGGGCCCAGAAACGGCAGGGCCGTTTTTTTCACCGTTTCCACAAACACATCCCTTGAACATGGAAACGGCAAAAAAACGGCGACTGGAAACGGCAAAAAAACAGCTCCAGGATTGGAACCGGAGCCGGAACCGGTCAAAAACGGCGACGGAACCGGTAAAAAAACGGCGTCAGAACCGGTAAAAAACGGCAAAACGGAACCGGTAAGAAAACGGCCCTGTCGTTTCCAGGGCCCACTGAGGCCTCCCCCTCTCTCTGCGCGTGGCCGAGTCGATGCGCCTCCCCCCCCCTGCCCCGCCTGACGTTGGCCCCGGTCCTCCGCGACAGCGGGGCCGTCACCTCCTCCGGGAGTCTCCTATGGACACGATGCGGCACAGACACCAGCTGTCCGAGCTCGGCGCGGACTTGCGGGATCCGCGCAGGGCCCCCCTCCCTGGCGCCCCGAGAGCGCCAGAGGCGGCGCAGGAGGCGCGGCCACAGGCCCAGCGCCGCGCCGAGGGGTCCGCGCGGAGCTCCGGAAAGCTATGTCGGCGGCGAGGCCAGGGGGAATTGCCCTGGCGAGGTACCCGACCCCTGCACAGATGCGGAGCAGGAGGAGCTTGGGAGATTTGGCGAGGAGGCGACGACGTGACACGGACGCATGTACTTCTGCGAGCGGCAGTCGGAAGGTTCGCGGGTCCCCAATCCAAGGAAAAACGATGAGCAACTAAGTGAACCCCTGAGTCACTAAGGAAGACGCAAGGTCCGCAAGGAGACTGTGTGCAAGAGGCTTGAAACGTTGGCGGGGCAGCAACAACATGACATGGCTGCCCAGGGACGGCGAGGTCCCGCTCAGGTCTGCGCAGTGCCTTACTCCGCTGAAACCACCAGCAGCCCTAACAAGTGGCGAGCCCACCAGCAGCCCTCGAAGGTGGCGACAGTTTCGCAGATCGCAGCCCCCGGGGGACGGCGAGGTCTACCTCAGGTCCGCGCGGTGCCCCACTCCGCTGGACCCACCAGCAGCCCTCGAAAGTGGCGACAGTTTCGCAGATCGCAGCCCCCCAGGGACGGCGAGGTCTACCTCCGGTCCGCGCGGTGCCTCACTCCGCTGAACCCACCAGCAGCCTTCGAAAGTGGCGACAGTTTCGCAGATCGATGCCCCCCAGGGACGGCGAAGAGAGGGCAGGAGGAGGGAGGAGGCGGGAGGAGGAGACGCGACCGCGGTGCTCTATTCAAAACAAATACACAACCAAGCAGAGTTGGGAAAAAGAGAAAGGGCGGACCCTCTCAGAAGGCTCGAATGTCACCCGGCCTCCTGAAGAGTTGCCTCCTCCTTCCCCGAAGGCCGCAGGGCTCCTGAGAAGCCCCGCCGCCTCCTGAGAAGGCCTCCTCCCTCTCCCTTCCCCCCGCCGCTCGCCGCCGACCGTGTGTCTGTGCGCTTCGTTTCTCACCTGGCTGGCGGGCGAGGCCGAGGCAGCGCGCGCCAGCGAGCTCCGCCCCGCCGGCGCCGGGGATGGCGCGTCCGGCGCCTCGCCGGGCTGCCGCGGCGCGGCCGCCGCGGCCTCGGGCGCGGTCCTGCCCGCGGTCGGCAGGGAGCCTTCCGGGCGGAGCCTCTTGGCGGCCGCGGCCCCGGCCTTCCGCTTCGCAGCAGCCTGTGGGTGGAGACCCAGGGGCGGATATCCTGTGCCACCCGCGGTGCGCAGGCTCGATTCCCGATGCTAGGACAAGCGCGACGTGATGGTGGGATTGGCTGCGGATGCGTTCCATGACTTCCAGGCAATCCAGCGGCCCCCTCGCCTCTGCAGCCCGTGTGGAGCGTTAGGGGACTCTTGCCTCCTTTGATCGGCTACACGCAAGGGCGACCCGGGGCAATAATGACCTTTGGTGCACGGCTAAAACGGGACGCGGGGTGGCCAAACCTGGGCGAGCAAGCCGCTGCCACCGCTGCGCGTTCAGCGATCGAGGGCACCCAGTGGGGGCCCGCCCCAAAGGTCACTCTGGCGAAGGCTCATTCTTACGCCTAGTCGATCTGAAGATCCCCCCTGCTCGGGAGCGGCCAAGAGGGGGGTGTTCAAGAGAGGGAGTGCAAACCATGGCCGGCGGCATGTGCGCGGCCCAGCGGGGGGGCCAGGGACGTGATGAAATGAGAAGGGGCGCCATGACATCTGGAGAAATGTCATGGCCCACGCCATGATATCCACCCCCCCAGTCCTCACGGCGCCAGACTGGATGAGCCTGGCGAGCTTTCGGCCTTCAAATGGTTTAAAAGGCATCGTTCCCCCCCCCGAACTCCGTTGAGTTCCTCCTCCTCCTCCTCCTCCTCCTCCTCCTCCTCCGCCTCCTCCTCCTCCTCCATCTCCTCCTCCTCCTCCTCCTCCTCCTCCTCCTCCTCCTCCTCCTTGCCAGTCCTCTCCCCCCTCCTTGCCGCCCCCGACCTGCAGCGGATCGCCCTCCAGGGTCAGGGTGGCCGGGTCGAGTGCCGTTCGCGCGTGAGGCCCCCCCCCCCTGGCGGGCGGCCGCTGGCACGCCCTGCCAGACTGAAAGTCGGGCGTGTCCCCCTACAGGGGGATTTTCGACGAAAAATGAAAAATACCCCCAAAAGATTCCCAAATTATTTAAAATACTCAAAATTAGTCCCCATACTATTTTGGGGCTACTTTTGAATTCTGCTGCTGTAGAGGGGCAAGCCCGACGTAATGCCAGACCCGTCGGGGCTCCACGCAGTGCTCCGGGGCCGGGGCAGGACCACAGCGCTCTGGGGGCCGGGGCCCCTCGGCTCTGCGTTTTGGTTGCGCGGGGGCCCAGGAGCCCCAGGAGCGACGAACCTCCACATCTACACGCCCTCGCGGTCTGGACTCCGGGGCGCGATCCCGTGGCTACGCGGTCGTGTGGATGCGCTCCGCGTATGGGCCATCCGCGACACGACGCCCCGCGCATCCATGGGGCCCCGCATCCATGGGGCACGGCCCGAGCGAATCGGTGGCTCCCGGAGGCTGGATCTCGCCGGGGCTGCCCGTGCAGGCCTTCTCCCTGCGCTGGGTGTCGGGAGCGGCCTGCGGGGCGGGGCTGCTGTCTTCTGGCGCAGCCAGGGCCGCAGAGGATGCGCTAGAGGACGCACTCGGAGTCGCCAGGCGCGGGGAGGCAGGGGCGTCCGCCTCCTCACCTGGCGGAGCAGAGTCACAAAGACAGCTCGCCGCGGGGGTGCCACCGCCAGCCGCTTAGGCCCTGACCAGGGTGTGTATGTGTGTATACGTGTGTGTGTGTGTGTGTGTGTGTGTGTGTGTGTGTGTGTGTGTGTGTGGCTTTGCCTCCCCCCGGCCTCGCTCTGAGGCTGCGCCCCCCTTTCTTCCCCCATCCCTGGTTAACCCAAGACTCGCGCGGCCCGCTTAGCTTCGACCGGAAGAGGTGCGCTCTCGACCCGCGAATCAAAAAGTGTGTGTGTGTGTGTCCCTTGACCGCCAGCCCCGGCTGCCGCCGGCCAGGCTGCTGCTCTGCCACTGCCCCGTGAGGGGTCGACTGCTCGCCCGCCAGCGCCCGGCGTGCGAGGCTATGACCGCAGGGCGAGTCGCCTGCCCGCTGACTCTCGAACGTGTGTGTTGGAGTGTGTGCCACCCCTGTGGCGCGCCATGTGCTTCCAGATCCATGGGTTGCGCGACATGCTGCGTGATCCAGAGGTTACGCCATGGGTTGCGGGATCCATGGTTCGCGCCATCCACGGGTTCTGCCATGGGCTGCGCCCCATCCATGATCCATGGGTCGCGCCATGCTCCGTCCAAGGGTTGCACCACAGGCTGCGCGCTCGGCGGCAAATATGACAGAACGGCCTGCCAGTGCACACTCGGCGGCCAAGACGGAGACCTGCTCATGGTTAGCCAAATATTGTGCACTCGGCGGTTGAGAACGGCTCGCTGTTGCACGCGGCAGGCGAGAACCAAACGGTCTGAATGTGTTGCGACATAGGTTACACGCTTGACGGGGGTTAATACAACTGCCTGCCATTGGTTCCGCAATGGATTGCGCATTCGGCGATCGAAAATAATAGGTTCCGTACTCGGTGGTGGCCAGGAGAACTGCCTGGTACTGGTTACGCCGTAGGCTGAGAACTGCGGCGCCGAGCAGAAAACGGTCTGATGTTGGCTGCTCCATAGGTTGCGCGCTCGGCGGCAGGACATGAAACGGCGGGCATTCGTTGCGCCATGGGTTGTGCACTCGGTGGCCGTCAATGGAACGGCCTTCTAACGGATGAGACCAGTCATTCAGCCAGTCCAGGGCACCGCGCGACGCACATACTGTCATCCCAGCCAAGCACCCGAATAGCAGCGAAGGTGAAGAGGCAGGTCGAGGAACAGGAGGTCGGCCGAGGGGGGCAGGAGTGATACCACAGCCACGATGTGCACCCGAGTGTGTATTTGACCAAACATCCTTGCCGTCCGGAGCATGAGTATAACCAGCACGACGGCGGCAACACGACTCCTGAATCCATGACGATGGAAACTCAAGCAAAACGTTTGCGGACCGCTTCCAGACCCGGCGGTCCCAGGCTCCCCGCCCACCCTGTGAGACTCTTCTGTGGTTCTTGTGTGCCTCCATGGGATCCACACAGCGAAACGCTATTCGGGAATTCGGGGCTCCGCCCAGAACCACAACCTCGCCCACTCCCCCCACGCCGTTCGCCTGGCACTGGGTTGTTTTGTGCAGCTGGCCGGATGACGGGGGCGGGCTCGGCGGCCGAGGGTTGGGTGAGATGCTGCGAAGGGACAAAGCCCCCATCATGTGCCCACAAATGCTGAACTACCGTCGGTGTCGAAGTGTGTCTGGGGGATTCCCCCCACATGGCCCGCAGGCTTGGTCGAAAGGCCCCCCTTATCAAACGGCACGAAACACGGGTCGGTTGATCTCGACACAGTAACCACACTCGATGAAACTAGCCCCGCGAAGGACCCAACCACATGCAGTTGTGAGCCCCCCTTGGGCCAGGAAGCGCGTGAAGGGTGTGCCAAGCTGAGTGCGGCGGGCACATGCCAACGCAGCCACTGGGGCCTTCGGTGGAGCTCCCTTTTGGCGCCACGAGACGTGTGAGGGGTGTGCCGAAATGGGCGAGGCTGGCGCATGCGAGCGCAGCCAATGGGGCCTTGGGGGGAGCATTCTACGGGGTCACGAAACGTGTGTAGGGTGTGCCGAAATGGGTGCGGCGGGCGCATGCGAACGCAGTCACACGGGCCTTCAGTGGAGCCCCCATACGGGGCCACGAAACGTGTGAGGGGCGTGCCGAAAAGGGCGCGGCGGGCTCATGCGAACGTAGCCACAGGGGGCCTTCGGGTGAAGTCCCTATGAGGCCACGAAGCGTTTGAGGATGTTCCGAAAAAAAAGCGGCGGGCGCGTGCGAACGCAGCCACAAGGGCCCCCAGCGGAGTTCCGTAAGGGGCCACGCAACGTGTGAGGGGTGTGGCAAAATGGGTGCGGCGGGCGCATGCGAACGCCACGAAACGTGTGAGGGCTTCGCGGGCGCATGCGGACGCAGCCACTGGGGCTTTCGGTGGAATCCCCGTTGGCGCCACGAAACGTGTGAAGGGTTTGCCGACATGGGTGCGGCGGGCGCATGCGAACGCATCCAATGGGGCCTTCGGTGGAGCTCCTTATGGGGCCATGAAACGCTTGCGCATGCGAACGCAGCCAATGGGGCTTTGGGGGGGGGGGGGGGGGGGGCATTCTACGGGGTCACGAAACGTGCGGAGGGTGTGCCGACATGGGTGCGGCGGGCGCATGCGAACGCAGCCACAGGGGCCTTCGGTGAAGCTCCTTATGGGGCCACGAAACGTGTGAGGGGTGTGCCAACATGGGGGCGGCGGCTGCATGCGAAGGCTGGCATGTGGACCTTCGGTGGGGCTCCGTATTGGGGCCACGAGATGTGTGAGGGGTGTGCCAAAACGGTTGACTGGTTCGGAGGGCAGAGGGAGGGATCGGAGCAAGAAGGAGAGGGAAGATGGGGGAGGATGAAGAAAGGAGGAACGCTGTTACTGCTGCTGCTGTTGTTGCTATTGATTGTGTTGCTGTTGTTGTTGCTGTTGCTGTTGCTGCTGTTGTTGTTGCTGTTGTTGTTGCTGTTGTTGTTGCTGCTGCTGTTGATGTTGCTGTTGCTGTTGCTGTTGCTGTTGTTGTTGTTGCCGTTGCTGTTGTTGTTGTTGGTGGTGTTGTTGTTGTTGGTGTTGTTGCTGCTGTTGGTTATTGTTGTTGTTGTTGTTGTTGTTGTTGTTGTTGTTGTTGATTGTTTTTTATTGTCGTCGTCTCGCCCGCGACCCGGCCCGCGACCCACCCGCGGCCCACCCGCGACCCACCCGCGACTCACCTGCGACCCACCCGCGGCCCACCCGCAACCCGCCCCCGACCCGGGCCGCGACACGCCAACGACTCGCCCGCGACCCACCCGCGACCCAACCCGCGCCCGCCCCCTCGTTCTTATCCGCAACTACGGGGTGTCGCACATATGTATATATATGTGTGTGTACTCCAGCTTTCGTAATAAAGGAAGGGGGGTCTCATTTCGGGGGGGGGTCTCTTCCAGGCTATCTTGGAGGGCCTGGGGGGGTCTGGGGACGATGTTCTGGAGGGTTCTCCCACGGGGGGGGGGTCTAAAACTTCTCGTTTGGGAGGGTTGAGACCCCCTCCCTTTTATTACGAAATCTGGAGTATGTACCGTCAATTGAAATGTAAGCTGTACCGCTGCTTTCTCCCAGGACACCGCTCTGCAGCTCCGGCGCCTCGTGCAGCAGCTCGTCGGAGGTGGGAGTCCCGCTCAGCCTCTTGCCGCTGGTCTGCTGCGGCACGACAAGGGTGCTGGAGGGCTTCAGCTGCCTCTCCTGGGCCGCAGTCGGTGAGTTGTCAGAACCTCTTCAAGATCCCACCCCGTAGTAACCGTAGGGGGACCGCGTCCTGAGGGAAACCGGTGCTGGACCCTGACGGTCCCAAGGCCCGTGGAGGGTCCCGGGTCCCGTGGGGGGCCCCGGGGAGCCAAAAACGGCGAAACAAAAACCTCAGGACCCGTTTCCCTTAGGCCCGTGTCCCCCATGGCGAATGGCAACATGTTTCTGCGAACAGCTGGAAGGCTGGTAGTCTTTCTGTGTTCAAATCGTTTGGGCCCTGGCCCTTCCTCCATCCGCCATTCCGGCATGCACGGAGGAAGGGAAAGGCGCGAGGGGGGGCTCTCCAAGAAGGAGAAGCCTCTCTTTTAGAAGCCATCCTGCTGCTCAGTGTGCTCGGAATCCTCTAACGGATTTCCCTTCGGAGGCGCCCCTACCTTCTGAGCAGGCCGCGCCGCTCCCCTTCTCCGCACTCCTCCTACAGGATGCATGTGCGATAAGACCTAATGCTGCTAAACATCTTGGGGCACACTCGCCGTCGACCCTGGAGAGTCCGAGGGCGCCCCAAAAGTTCTGGTGGGTCCCGGAGGCCTTGCTGGCACCGGTTTCCGCGGGGCACCTGGTTGCAGCCCGCTTTCTGATTTCGCGTGCCTGCCGTTAGCGGGGCCCATCCCGGCCAGTCCTCCAAGCCGCGCCCGGCAGGGCAGACGAGACGCCCCAGAGATGCGGCGACGCCAGGTCGTCGACGACTACTACAGCGACGAACGACGCAGCGCTGCCGCGGCTGCCCCCGAACCCGGCAACATCGATCACGGCTTCGCCGACGACGGCGTCGACGACGACGAAGAACGTGAGCGACAATGACAACGACTGCGATGGTGGCAGCGGCGGCGTGGACAATGCCGGCGGAGGTGTCGACGACGAAGAACGTGAGCGACAACGACAACGACAAAGACCTCGACGGCGGCGGCGTGGACGACAACGTGGACGGCGACGGCGTGGACGGCGACGGCGACGGAGACGTTGGCGAAGCAGACGGCGCCGGCAGCGACGACGGCGGCTATCCTGAGATCTGTTGCGCACCACCTCGTGGGAACCGGCGCCGCCAGGCGAGGGCGATCGGCTTCTGCCCAGCAGCTCGATCTTGGGGCCTTGGGTGCAGTGACGACGACGCCGACGATGACGACGACGCGGACGACGCCGCAGCCGACGGCGACGACGACGATTACGACGAAGATGCGAACGACGTGTCGTCGGCGTCGTCGATTCGAAGGTTCCTTCTGGGGGGGCCCTCGTCGATTCTGGTGGCCCCTGTCGCCACGCCCGCAGCGCTGTTGGGGAACGCCGTCCAGGTCGGGCCCTAGGGCCCTAGGGCCTTGGCCCTGGGGCCCTAGGGCCCTGCGAACGGTCGGGTACCAACTCTGAGGAAGAGATTGTGGCGACCACCGCGACGACGACGCCACCGACGCAAGCGACGACGACGACGCCGACGACGACGAGGACTGCGACAACGACGACGGTACCCGGTGTGGCGGCCAGCTGCGCGCGCGCCCGCGGCGATGGCACCGGCGCTGGCCGCGAGACCGCTTCCAGCCGAGACAACGACGCCAACGACGACGTTGCCGACACGGACGACGCCGATGCGGACGCCGACGTAAACGCCGATGCTGACGCCCACTCCGACGCCGACCCCGACGACGGCGACGGCGACGCAAACTGCGGCGGCCAACTCCGCGGCGTCGGGGGTCACAAGCCCCGTTGCCAGCCGGAACGGCGGCGACGCCGCCGCCGACGATGACGACACCCGAGTCTGACGAGATCCCTCTCTACGCGGATCTGGCCATGGCGACAGGGTGCCCCTCGAGGCCCAGAAAGACTCTATTCGAACCGCCACGGCGACGGCAGCAACGACCACGACGGCGACGGTGCAGACGAGCCTTTGTGAACGGAAGGGCGCCGGAAGCCCTGCCTCGGCTGCTTCGCATCATCCTGCTGCTCGCGCAGGGTGTGCTCTATCAGCTCCTCCAGCTGCCTCGCCTCCTCCAGGGAGGGTCGCATTCGTCGTGCTCGTCGTCGACCTGAACGTCGTCGTAGTCCTCGTCGTCATCGTCGTCGTCGTCGTCGTCGTCGTCGTCGTCACCACAGCCGTCGGCGCCGCCGCCGTCGCAGATGCGTCGCAATCCTCTTAGTCGTCATCGTCGTCGTGGACTGTCGTGGTCTGTGCTGCAACCGCTGTGGAGTGGAAGCGCAGCAGGATGATGGGGAATGGCCAGCGAGCAGCCTCCCGAGCGGCCACAGCACGGAACGCCAGCGTGTTGGGAGAATACGAAGGGAGTCAGGTAATGCCCTCCACCACCGCGTCGAGTTCGCGGTCATGAGCGCACAGCTCCACGACCAAGATGCCCATCTGGAAGACACCGATAGCAGCTTGTGCCATCTTGCAGCGTCCTCAACGACTCAGTCGGTGGCCGAAGTCGCCTGGTGCTGAGCCGCCTACCGAGCCTCCGCGAGCACACACTGCTGGCCAATGCGGCGCCGCGCGGCCCGTAGGCGGCTGCACTCGGCCCCAGGTGGCGGGCGCTCTTCGCCAGTGCGCCGCAGTGGCGGCACCTGCTTTGCTCCTGTGCCCCAGGTTGGAGAGGGACCCCGCGCTCGTCCACGTCGCCAGCCGCTCTGGCAGCCGACGCCGCAAGCCATCGAGCAGGTACCATGGTGCCGCCAGGCCAGATGGTGAGTAGGAACCATGCCCGCTGCGTCAGGGCTCAACGCCAAGCAACGAAAGCGGGCTCGGAACAAGCCTCAAGACCCGCCCAGCCAATGCCAGCAGCGTCAAAACGAGCCCACTGGACCCACGCAAGCGTCACGGCGCGCCTCGACACATGGAGCAGGTGGGGGCTGGCCTGCGCGCCCACTTTCTCGGACCCCTCTCCAGCGGGCACCAGGGTGCGCGTGGCCTCCAGCCGAGCCCTGCCGAAGGCTCGTCGAACTCGGGGACCCGCTGCGCCCAGTCGCCGCAAAAGCAGACCGTCCTCGAAGGTCGTCGGGCGCATCCGCCACCGCACCTGGGTCGCAGATCAACTCCAGCTGCAGGGCCGCCGCACGGGCCTTCAGCGAGGGCAAGAGGACGCAGCTCACGGGCAACCTCCAGCCCAGGGCGACCGTCCAGATAACTGTTCTGCAGCTCATGCATGACGTGGTCCGCCATGCGCCGGGCCCCGCACCACCAGGCACATGAGGAACGCGGCATTGCGGTCTGCATTGCCTTGTTCACGGCCGCCGCCGACAGCTCGATGACAGGGGCGCGCACCTTGAACCGAGGAAGGGCCCGATAGCCCCCAGCCGTCGCGCGTCAACGGAAGCTTAACCTCAGTTACCCTGGGTGGCCCTGTGACCACGCCAAGGTGCCCCACCTCCTCATCGCCAGCCCAAGCCTGCCGCCAGGACGACCCGCTCGTGGGAAGCATCGGACGCGGCGCCCACCGCGGAGTTGGAAGGCCCGCCGGCGGCCTTGAGGCTGCGGTTATCCGCGTACGCCCACGTCGGGGCGGCGCGCTCCACGCCTTCGACGGCCACTCCTTGCCAGGGGGCAACCACCAGCGCCAAGTCCCGCGCGGACAGCGAGCGGACCCGCTGGCGTGAGCCCCGATGTGAGCAAGGTAGTGAAAATCACATGTAGATTACTGCGTCCGTGTCCGTGCATCAGCTGGGTGATGTTGCCGGGCATCCTCTTCACGATGCCGTCGCCGTGTGGCTTCGAGGAGACGAGGAGACTCACGCTGAGTCCAAGGATGCCACTACTTGTGGTGGGACGCTCTAGCGCGGCCATCGCCACGCCTAGCTGGGCGGAGGCAACGGCCTCAGCCAGGTCCTGCTCCTCCCCGCCTCAGCATGGCGAAAACGTGTCCTAAAGGAAACGGGTCCTGGACCTCGGGGCCTCCCCACAGGACGAGATCTTCATCCTGAATCGTTTTCTAACAGTCCCAGGGCTCGTGGAGGGCCCCGAGAGCCCGAAACCGGCGAAACATCTCGAGGCCAAGTTCCCGACCGCCGCTGCCGGGGGCGGCCACCCAGTCTGCCAGAGCCTGCAAAACACTCTCGGACCACCGCTTTAGCGGCAGCTCGGAACTCGGGTCCAACGAACGCCACGCCCTCCGCATAGTGGAGTTAGCGGCGATTTGACGTGCTTCGCCGAAATCGTTGTCGAGGTCGCCGCCGAAGTCGTCGTAGCCGAGGTCGTCGACGAGGTCTTCGTCGTGGAGGTCGTCGTCGTTGGCCTCGTTCTCGTAGTCGTCGTCGTTGTGAAGGACGCGGAGGTTGGGAGGAGTGAAGGATGAGGGAACAGAGGATAATGATACGGCGGATGGAGACGAGGAGGGAAGGAGGGAGAGAGGGAGGGTGAAGGAGGAGAGGGAGAGGTGAGGGAGGGTGAAGGAGGAAAACCAGTGTGAACCCAAGACGCATCACCGATGTTATTACAAAGTACGCACTCCCTCCAATGTCCTTCTTCGAAGGTAGATGGTTTGAACTGGGCCATGGAAAGACAAATGTTTGAGAGACACCAATCGCGCCAACGCGTAATTTTTTGGATTCCAGCGCCGCGAATCAACATCACTGTTGCATCCAGACAATCCGACATCGCGCCAGACTGCCAGTCCTGGGACTTCAACACCGCAAGCCAACGTGACTGCTGCGTCCTGACAGTCCTAGGCTGTGCGAAAACACCATTATTGAGAGTCCAGCCGTGCGAACCCTTCTGACTGATGTGCACCTTACAAATGATCCAGGCGAAAATCCAAACCATATGCAGTTGTGAATACCGCGTTGTGGGTGGAAGCCCCTTTTGACGCAACGAAGCGTGTGAATGGTGTGCCCAAGTAGGCAGGGAACTGCATGTGGACCGTGCCACTGAGGCCTGGTAGGGCCACGAAACGTGAAATGGGGTGTGCCGAACTGGGCCGGGAACCGCATGTGGACCCTGCCCCTGGGGCCTTCAATGAAATTCCCTATGAGGCCACAACGTGTGAAGGGTGTACCCGGACGGGCGGTGAACCGCATGTGGAACCTGCCGCTGGGGCCTTCATTGAAGCTTCCTTTGGCTATGGAACCACGAAGCGTGTGAGGGGTGTACGGGCATGGGTAGGGAACCGCGGACCCTGCCACTGGGGCCTCCGGTGGAACTCGCAATGGGGCCACGAAACGTGTGAGAGGTGTGCCCTAATGGGCGGGAAACCGCGTGTGAAATTTGCCACTGGGGTTTTGGTGGGATGTCCTATGGGGCCGCGATGCGTGTGAGGTTTGTGCCCAAATGGGCGGCGAACCGCGTGTAAACTTTGCCACAGGAGACTTCGGTGGCGCTTCCATGGCGCCACCAAACACATAGGGGCCATGATAATGTACCACTCTTGTTCCCGGCAAATCTGGATTCTGAAACAGGGGTCGAATTATAAACTAAACCCCGTTCGGAGACATGTTAAGACCCTTCCCCAGCGCCGCTGCCCAGGAAGGGTGTTTTATAGATTGCCCCAAATTTCCCTTCCCCACGCCACGTTGGCTGGGGGTGGGTTCGACAAGAATTCGAATGGTTGAAATAGGAACGGGTTTCCCAAAAGCTGGCGGGGGCCGCTTAAGGGTGGTTTCAAGAAATCCGCCGATCCGTCGTGCGATTTTCTGAGAGCATGGGCTTGAGCTCGCTCAAGCTTCGCCCTGAAGGGGGGGGCGTTTTTTTCTAACAAATGTTATATTTACCTAGCAGCGAAGACTGATAGGTTTCTAATTGTCTCAAAAGAGAGCATCATGACTCCCCAGGGGGGTCCGGGCAGGATCCAGGGAGAATCCGCGGATCCGCCAGTGACTATGGGGAACGCACCACTGAGGCTGAGGCTGAGGCCCCCAGCGACGCCAGCGACTATGGGGAACGCACCACTGAGGCTGAGGCTGAGGCCCCCAGCGCCGCAAGTGACTATGGGGAACGCACCGCTGAGGCTGAGGCTGAGGCCCCCAGCGCCGCCAGTGACTATGGGGAATCCACCACTGAGGCTGATGCTGAGGCCCCCAGGGCCGCCAGTGACTATGGGGAATCCACCGCTGAGGCTGAGGCTGAGGCTGAGGCTGATGCAGGCTGAGGCTGAGGCCGAGGCTGACGCAGGCTGAGGCTGAGGCAGGCTGAGGTTGAGGCTGAGGTTGAGGCTGAGGCTGAGGCTGAGGCAGGCTGAGGCAGACGCTGAGGCAGGCTGATGCTGAGGCAGGCTGAGGCTGAGGCTGAGGCTGATGCAGGCTGAGGCTGAGGCAGGCTGAGGCTGAGGCCGAGGCTGAAGGCAGACTAAGGCTGCACACAGCTGAGACAGGCTGCAGGCAGGCGCCTGCATGTTACTACTGGGCACTCTACTACTACTTACTACTCTTACTACTACTACTACTACTACTACTACTACTACTACTACTACTACTACTACTACTACTATACTACTACTACTACTACTACTACTACTACTACTACTACTACTACTACTACTATACTACTACTACTACTACTACTACTACTACTACTACTACTACTACTACTACTACTTCTACTACTACTACTACTACTACTACTACTACTACTACTACTACTACTACTACTACTACTACTACTACTACTAGTACTACTACTACTACTACTACTACTACTACTACTACTACTACTACTACTACTACTACTACTACTACTACTACTACTACTACTACTACTACTACTACTACTACTACTACTACTACTATACTACTACTACTACTACTACTACTACTACTACTACTACTACTACTACTACTACTACTACTACTACTACTACTACTACTACTACGACGACGACGACGATGACGACGACGACGACGACTACTACTACTGCTACTACTACAACTACTAGGCAGAGGCTGAGGCTGAGGCAGGCTGGGGCTGAGGCTGAGGCAGGCTGAGGCTGAGGCAGGCTGAAGCTGAGGCTGCGACTGCGACTGCCGTTGCCACTGCAACTGCCATTGCGATTGCGACTGCGACTGCGATTACACCAGAATTCTACAACAGGATTCC